TCACGACACGCACGGCCACAGCCAAATGAAAGCCTGTCAGCAGCATTAAAGTGTACAAACAGGGAACCTGCATTACAGAGCATGTGCTGCAATCACAGTCAGCTTTAATGCCGGCGGGAGCCCACAGCAGCCACAGCAGGCAGCCAGCATTGAGGCGGTGGGACCAAGTGGGCACACCAGCGCCACCTGCTGGATCATACATCCAGAACAGCGAGGTGTTCATGTCACCAGCACCACTGTCACCCATCACCTATTACAGCCCCTAAATTTCACGAGCCAGAACTAAAACATTTATTTTCTCCAGTCCACGTGCTCTCTGAAGCCTGCTGTGCGCCCCAACGGAGGCACATCACCTGCAGCCCGACCAGCTGCGGGCATGAGCCCCGCCCAGCATGAGACACAAACCGCAGGAAGGGGGGCGGCTGCGCAGGGATGCAGAGACAAACGTCAGGCCACGTCCACATTCACCTCAGCCAATCAGGACAATTCCTAAATATTTCAGGCCTTCTTAAGAAACCTCCTCAAAAATTTTATATGTAGACAGGAGCTGTATTCGGGGTAAATGGCCCGTTCCCTACAAATCACACAGCATGACGTGTCGTTGCAGTAGCCCAGCACAGCAAACACACAGCCCCTGCCCGGCCTCTGGCCCCGAGGCTGAACGCAGAGCCTCTATCTGATCTGGGGCCTGCGGAAAATGGACAACAGCTGGCGGTGATTTTGTGCCAGGAGGCCACGTCCTGCAGCTGGATGGACAGGAGCAAAGTTACAGCTCGGGGCCAACAAAGGGCCTGGAGGGCTTGGCTGAATGGGCCGGACACCCACTTATACCTGCCCATCTCCACCAGCATAGGGGAAGGCGCCCCCAGCAGGCACAAGTACCCAACTACAGAAAGCCACCTGTGTAAACACGCATCTGTGACTCCGGCAGCATTAACCCTGAATCAGACAGAAGGTGACAGCAGAGCGGATGGGAAACGGCGCCCCCTGCTGCTTTCACATACTCTTTGTTGTGTTTCAAAGCCAAATGGTCAGACTCGAAATAATAGACGTCTGGGTCATCTTCGTCGTCCTCCTCCTCCTCAGCAGCCGGACCGCCTACAGGCTCTTTGGTGGATCTGGGAGCTCTGAGCTCCGGTGAGCCCACCTCCCCGCTCTCTTTGGCCTCCGGCTCCCCCCGGGGGCTGCTGGTGCTCTCTGCGTCAGGGGGGGCCTCGGCCTCCCGCTCCTCCCCCGGGGGGGAGCTCAGCTTAGGCGGGCTGCCCCTGCCCCTTCGGGGAGAAGTTCTCAGGGCGTAGCGATGCTCTTGGGGTTCACTGAAGCAGGGAGTGTGGGGGGGGCTTTGGGCAGGGCCTGGGGGGCAATGGGTGGGACTTGCTGAGCTGTAGGCAGGGCCCTGAGGCAGACACACTGGTTGGCCCCCCCCTGACATGCGGGGCTCGTCGTTCGCCACACACAGACCACTGTTGGTGCCGTCCGTGACTCGCGCCTGGGCCAGGCTGCCGGCGTCGCCCACCACGTCCACCTCCTCCTCCACCAGCGGGGTCTCAGAGGGGGGGCCCTCTGGACCGACAGGCCCCACCTGCTCGGGGTGCGAGTTTCTACAAGGCACATCAGAGTGGGGGCTGGGAAAGGGCGCCCCCTGCCTGCCGTTCAGCAGGGATGCGTAATCACAGCACACATCCCCAAGGTTGTTCCCTGGCTCCCGGGGACCGTCCATCGCGGCGTTCAGTCCCACAGAGGGTGGCGTGGGGCCCCCACCAAGGCCTCCATCGGGGCCCCGGTCGGCAAGCCCATTGGCCACCCCATGGCCCTCGCTGCCATCCACAGGCTGCCCGCCAGCCTCTTTGGAGTTCTCTGCTGCCTCAGACTTGCCTTCGTTACGTTGGGAGTCCCGCTCGCCCTCGATTGCATCCTGAGCGTCGCATGGAGAGGGTCTCTCAGGCCTGGCTGGGGAGCCGGGGGTCTCACCGGAGCGAGAGCGCCCCCTGGCCCGCTTGAGCAGAGGCGATGCCTCACGGGGCTGGCCCTCCACCTTCTCAGGGGCCTCCCTTTCCGAGAAGGACAGGCCGCGCTTGCGGGGGCTCATCCATGGCTCCCGCTCCCCTGGGAGGTGTTTGGCGTCGGCTACCTTCCCCAGATGGCTCCCTTTGGGGGAGGGCTGCTGTGGCGCCCCCTGCTGGCTGTCCGGCTTTTTCTTGGGCGAGCGAGCCCGGGGCAGGGGGGCCGGCGAGGAGTCATCCGACTGGGCGATGCTACGGTTCCTGAGGGTCCGACCACAGAAGTTTTCATCCAATCCATTTATGCCCACCGACGACCTGGTAACACGCGTCGAGCGAGAAGCAGCCATGCTATGGCCGGTCCTACAGCCTCCACATCGCGGGCCGCAGCTCTGCGGCGATTCGGGACTCCTAGATGGGGAGAGAGAGAGACGGCAGCGTTAGGGAGAGCCGAGACAGCCGATACGTTTCACCAGCGCTGTCTAAAGCCAACACGATCAGCTGAAGACAAATGCTAAAAACCGCGGAGAGCAGTTATTATTCATTTGGGAGCCTGAAGGACCAGGCGGAGGGCTGGAGCCCAGGACGCTGGGAAGAAACAGGGCAAATCCTCCTCAGCAGCAGCAGACAAACACAAGGCCCAGGAGACTTCAGCTCTGTCTAACTGATAACCACTGATCAGAAGGGAGGAAGGGGGTGACTTACAGTCTCAAGAACTTTTAATCAGGTACATGCATCAAGGTAACTTACATTGCAGCCGCAGTGATAGTGCCGTAATCACGGCTGCCTTGCCTGGGTGCAGGGTCATGTGACATACAGGGTCATGTGACATGTCACGTACAAACTCTCACCATCACATGAACCACCACCATGAGACAGAAAAGAACCGGCAACTTAAAATTTAATAAGAAAAATGTAATTTAAGACCCTGTTTAAAAATTTATCTACATAATCACTTTAAAACCACATATTGGACAAGCCAGGACAGGCAGGGATACAGCCTTCATCCAGAGGTATCTTCCTGGTTTTAGCTGCAGCACCAAGAGCAGACAAATAGGAACCTTGTTTAAGGAGCAGCAGGAAAAAGACGCGCCGTCCTTCCATGCAGAACGAGGAAGCAGGACCACCGTACCAAAAAAAGCTAAAAATGAAGGCCAGCTGGTCAAGTTCCAGGAAAATAGAAGGTGCTTTGGAAGCTGTGATAAGGGAGAGTAAGAGAAGAGTCGGCAACATGAGGCAGAGAGTGCAGAAGGCGGCAGGTTCTCCAGATGGAGGGGATTAATACTGCCATGCAGGAAGCCAGGTGCGGCGACAGCCGAGTCAGAACCCAGAGCACTGCCATCTACTGGGCTGAACAGGAAGTGCGACACGAAAGCGGGACATTGCTGCCAGCCCTGCCCTCGGCATCATGGGGGAAATGGCAGAAGGGGCAGACCGCGACAGGAGCTTCAACTCCAGGCAGCTACTCGGGGGATCCATGGTCAGGTGGGGGCCAGTGGGAAGGGACTCACACACACACACACACACACACACACACACACACTGCCCAGGGTCACACCAGATACTGAATTAAAGCAAAGTTCCGGGTAGAAAAGGAAAGAAGGGAAAAAAAGAAGTGAATGGCAGCATTGAGACGCAGGCCCCATAAGCCGACAGGCAGAGACCCCTGACAGTGTGCGGGCGGCTCGCACCGTAAAGCCCAGTCATCCATCTCTCTGCCAAGTCAGTCGTGCCGCATGCGAAATTTTTACAAGCAGAAGAAGAATTCCACAAGCAAAGAGCGCAGCGAGCATTCATTCACAATTTCTGTTGTTTTGATACTTCAACAGACAACCAGAGAACATTCATGTGACTTCAAGCAATCACTCAAATTGCTGTAAACACCCCCAAATTATTAGCGGCAAAATGCGCCGTGCAATCAAGTCGCCTCCCATGCTGGCAAAAAACCCAGCAAGGTTAAATGCGCTTTATCTGTAATTAGCTAATAGAAATGTTTCCAAATGCACGCATTTCATCGACCAGCGTTTGAAGTACACAAGCAATTTGGGGGTAAGATGTGACAGGGTTTTTTTGTTTTGTTTTGTTTTTGCTGAAGCGCGGCCTAGATCAATGGATGGATCACGAATGTCAGGGATGGACGGGAGCAGACTTGTGCTGCATGGAGGGGCTCAGCGATTTGCTGCAGCCGCAGAGGAGAGCCTGCCTCATAAATCCACATGCAGCGGAATTCACACAAGGGGTGACTCTCAGTGCGTGTACTTCACCGTGCTAGTGCTCTCGCATACCCGTTTTATGTCATCTTCCATTGCCAAAGACCAGTTCTAATACTAAGAACAGAAGTACAGAGGATGGTAAAAAAAAATACCCAGATATTGTGCTTGCCCCGCACCAAGTACCAAGGATGCATCAGTTGCATCCACGCCAAATAAGACCAGTCACGTGACTCATTGTGCCCCAAGTTCGTTCTTGAGAGACAAGCTGGCAAGACCGGTCTTGCCAAGACCACAAGTATTATCTTTGCGTTCTTCGAATTGAGAAACACCCAAGTTGTGCAGCAGCAGCGAGGGGCAAACATCACACCAGCATGCTGCTGTGCCCACAGTCACCCTGAGCAGCTACAGAAAACCATCCAGCTGCAGGAACAGAGCGCTGGATAAGTGTCACCCCGAGAGAGAGTCACCTGGGAGGGCTCACACGCCCTCTCACTCACCACATACCTCTTACACTGCACATACCCAGATATTCTGCGGGGACGGAAGGGATCAGACCAGGCATGGAGGAGATGAACAGAGGGGTCACTATCAGCCCTGAGTATTCACAATCAGAGCGAAGATAGTGCTGGACATGTAATGTCTACACCAGGCCAGAACGACCAGCTATTGGCAGAGCTTCTCTGCACTGTGCTTTTTATCAGCCTGCACAGTGCACACCAGCTGGGACTGCAGGGCTGTGCCCAACTCCCAAACACAACATGCACATTTCCCCATTCGCAACAATGGAAACCAAATTAAGCAGACAAAAGCAATTCTGTCATTGACTATGACTGTCAAATTACCATAGATAAAATGGGCAAAAGTACTCTGTGTGCACTTCTTCCTCCCTGAGGTGATTACATAAGACATGCTGCCTGCTTTTAACAGTCCATCAAATGCCTTCCCGAAGTGGAAGTTTAGGTTTAAGCAACGCTAAGGCATTTACCAGAGATGCAGGCCGCCTCCTACACAGGTCTGCTCTGGCAGTCTTCAAGAGCCACTGAAGGTCAAATTCACAGTTATATGATGTAGGTTCTACAGAATGTTAAGTATACATGCAGTACAGACAGTTCTATGAAGACCAAACAGAAATTAGATCAATAACTCTGCTACTATGAGAAAGAAAAATGACTGTTTAATGAAGGACATATAAGACAGACCTTCCTGAATCAAAGGGCATTAACAGCACAGCCTGAGAGCTGCTGGCCTCATCAATAATAAGTGGAGCAGAGATCCCAAAAGAAGGCTGAGCATGTAGCCGAACAGAGCTACCACCAGAGCCTTCATCAATAAAGCATCTACTCCAAGAACTACAAGGCAGGAAGGCCGAGAAGCGCTGAACCATGCAGGAGCGCCGACCGTCCATGTGCCAACTGTCTGCGGAAGCCACAGAGGAGCGTCATGCAAGTCGCATGCAGAAATCTGCAAATAGTAACCTTGGCCAGGGCTAAGGAGCACGGTGGGTCTACTGTTGAAGCAACAATGGTGACCATTCCCATAATCCTGTCAGAATAATATACATCAAGATCCCCAACAACTGACACTGCTGCTTCATTTCATACACTGCAAGGAAAACAAATATCAAGAATCCCAGCTATGAGTAGCACTTCACAGGAACTCCTACTGCACAACCTTACAGTCCGCAGTTACATATCAGCACAATACATAACGTTCCATTGAGTCTGCGCCAGTGCACACCGTTTAACGATCCCTTCCATATGTTAGACTTGACAACAGTGCCAAAAGTTCAGTATGGAGTGAAAGTGCCACGAAGACTGCTGGCCACTGACAGGCCTGCATGATCTTTCTGAAGATATATCAGCCGGCACCCCAGGCAAGATCAGCCACTGCTGTGAGCAGAGAGGAGCCCCCCATGGCCCATTGCTGGAAGCAGCCAATGGAAGCGCTCCTTACTGGGGAGTGGGCGGTCCTGGAGCAGTCGGCCTGGGGCACACCTGCCTCTCCATCACACCCTGGGGGCGGGACCCTGCTCCTTACACTGTAAGCTTACCTGAAGGAAGGACCTTTCCGTGCCCAGTAAAATTTCAATACAACAATACCTTAATAGTGGTGTTCCCTGCAACTTTGTAGATGTAAATTTCCCCCAGCTATAACCTGTCGGTGTTACTGAAAGTCGCGTTTAAAAGCCGAAGTGAGCTGGATCTCGGCGGCGGGAAAGTACACGCGTGCCGGGCGGAGCGGGTTAAACACACATGACGCTACACGTGTCTGCGGCTCCGCGGGTCACCCTGCCAATAACCGGCGCCCACCTTCATAACTTCAGACCAACTAGTCAACACGCTGCTGCTTCCTAGTCAATGTTCGGCCTCCCTCACGCCGAAGATGCGATGGCAGCTAGGTAGAGCCTCACCTGTGATGAACTGCCAAATTACTAATGGTTAGATGTGCTGCCGATTGTCTCTCAGGGGAGGGCCATTAATCAGTTACTGGTTCGCCGTAGTACAGCTGAATGCAGGAGTATGTACCTGCTATGTCCTCGAACCCTTGCGAAGTTACGTAGTGCCCATCTGGCAGAGCGGATGCCCGCTTAATCCTCCCGACCTCCGTAAGGCGGGCCGCGTCGCGGCTCTCCCGGGCCCCAGTGGCGACGCAAGGCGGCCCGCAGCCACTTATGTAACACGGCTGCCTTCTTCCCCGGCGGGCTCTGCTCCCCGGGCCCCGTCGCCCCTCTCTGAGAGGCGTGAAGGCAGCGGGGAGCGCCCGGCTCGGAAGCGGGCTGACGACACTCTGCCGCCCGAGCACGGATTAACGGGAGGCTTGCTAGCCGCTTAACTAGCGGTGCTTTTTCCGTTTTAACTCGGTACAACTAGTTTCGCCGACTACCTGGCTGAGCTCTGAAAAAAGAAAAATAAACGAGGACGATGATGATAGCGGTGTAGGTAAAGGGCACAGCTCTCGGGGAGAGCGGAGCACGGACAAAGGGCGAGCGACGCCTGGCGTGTTTACAATGGCTGCAGCCCCCTAATAAGCCAGTTTGGCGGCCAGATGGCCCGATCGCGGCGCTGGGCAGCGCACAGCTAACCAGCTAGCTTAGCCGCGGCTCCTGCAGCACCCCAACTTTGGCGAAGCGCTCGGCTCCGCGCCGAGGAGCAGGCAGCCCGGCCACCCGACGGCCCCGCCGGCTTCCGTGGAATACCCGCGCAGTTCCAGTTCGGCCGTCCGAACCGCTAAATTAAAAAAACACGGCGTTTAAAGCTCGAGATCCACACTTACCTCACTTCCGCACACGGTGCGCAGCGCGCTCGGCCGCCGCCATGTTTTCTATCCCCCTGGCTGCCGTGCGCGCGCCGCCGAATCCCACAATGCCGCGGTGCTCGGCTCGGCTCAGTTCGGTTCGGCTCGGCTAGTCCGGGATCGCCCCCACGAGCGCAGAACGAGGATGTGCTGTATGTAAAACACAGGGGCGGAGGGCTGCGGCGTGGTGGCTGTAGCGATGATCCTGATTTGTGCTGACACCCGTAAAAGCCCGCTTTGTTTTATTGTTAGCTGATATAATTAGAACTTATCTCTCTGTAGTCGGATGCACCTTAAGACAAACGTTATGCACTTACGCTGGTGGGGCATTTAAATGGCATTTGCATTTACTTAGGGCATCCAAATAAGGAGGTTTCGTGTTTGAAATCCTTCAAAGGGAAATATGACATTTAAAAACTATGTACGATGAGGTAGCAGGCCAAGTACACGTGGATTTCACAGGATAATGCTGAACATCGCTGGAAACTGTACGTGTTAATACATACCTGGTTCCGGCACTTTCTAGTTGGGGAAAAAATCATATAACACATTTTGCAGGCCCACACGACCTGGACACAGAACACAGACGCGGGCAGAAGAACATCTCAACAGAAGAAAATGTCGCTGTTTAAACGTACGACCTGGTGTCGGTAATTACCGTTGCACCTGTTATTGCAGGGAATTGCTGTGCGTTGTAGGGCTGGAGGTAACGTTGTTTTTTATATTTCATGTACGTATTTCAGTCTTCCAAGCAGTTTTGCAGAAATTGTGGACGAAGTCCATAAACTCGGTTGAATTACAAGCTGGATATGACGTACTTCACACACTGAGGAAGACTTAACAGCGACAGAAGTTTTCTTTCTACTGCTGGAAGTTTTTGAAACATTTTGTAAAGCATTGAATTGCTGTACACAGAAGGTAGTTTAATTAAAACATGCAATAAAAAAATCCTGAAGTACAGGCACACATTTTAGTCGGATTTCCTATAGTATACAGCATGGTCAGCAAACGCGAAAACAAACATGCATACAACTGCTTTACCTTTGAACATTCTGCACTCAGTGTTTCCAGCTATTTATTTGCAACAGCGTAAATCACTTCATACATAAAGTATTGCAATTTTATATTACGGTCTTACAGTACACAGGTATTCAAAGCGTAGACGAGTTGGTCACCGTCTTTAAATCAACAAAACCATTTCCATATTTTAATAGCATCGGGCAGCTAAAATATTACTATTTATAAAGCATTCACGTGATTTTCTTGTGAGAGAACTTTCACACCCCGATCGCCGTTATGTGCATCGTGCCCATACATATGTAATGCCTTTGCTTAAGATCGAAACAGTGAGAAATCGCTGGATCTGTCGAGGTCATTATGTATTCTATACATATAATTTCACTTACAAGACAGCTGCAGTTTTGCTTAAGTTAACATTATGCTGGAAGCAGAAGCAATATTTACATGCAAATCAACATAACCGCTCACGACCCACAACGTTCTGGCAGCCAGAGAACTTGTTAAACTCACTTGTACGTGTAAGTTAAGCATGCTTCTGCTGAGCTTCCCTACAAAACTCTATAACCGGCGTATTAAACTACAGCCTTCGGAGTTACGTGACGTGAGACGGGGATCCCGCTCCCGGGCCACGTGGGCGCCTTCGATTCTTACACAGTACAGTGCAAAATTACGGTCTTTCCTGAGACTACTTAAGTACTTAGTATCCCTTGGTAATCTGTAGATTTTGATTAAGCATTTTTCCCCTTATGCTAACCACTTTCTACAGGACACATTAAGAGTTGGGGGCTCATCTACAGAGGCTTGTTACCCTTGGTGAGCACTCACAGGGTAACACGCTCCATTTGGTCTGTGGGAAAGAAACATGGTAATGATACATGTTCAGCTGCACCAAGTTAAATACACGGCTTACTAGCCCACCTCCGTGGCTACCTGTAGTCCTCCGCGGTAATAAAAAGGATATATACACATCACAAAATGTACCATGGCGGTATCTATTCCTCGCATTCACTGTAATTTACGGAATGGTGGGGACATGCCTTTGAGTGCTTCTCCAAATAAAAAGTCAAGTGCAAAATAAAAGTGTTTTCGGCCCGGCGTCTGGTGGGCAGGGCTAAAGCGAGCGGGTCTCCACCTCGATCTTCTCCTCCGCCTGCGATGGCTCAGACTCCGCCTGGCTCACGTTTGGCCGCAATGTCACCACCGGCCCCCCACCGTAGATCGAATTCAGGAAGTTCCACGTCTCCTCAGAGATCTGCCCCGAATCTGCCCCTGTCAGGGCAGAAAGGAGACTACATGAGAAGGGCGCCACCCTGTGGCTACCTGCCCTGGGTCGCGGCGGTATAGCGTTACCTTGCTTCAGTGTGAGATGCCCGTTCTTGTTCACCGCGATCTTAGTGTTGTCGATGGGCCCAGGCAAATCTGCAGCAAGAGAGGGCAGCGTTTCTCACGTCAGACCAGGCAGCTTACTGACTCTCACCTTAATTAAAACGAGTCCCTCGCACGGGAGCCGAGTCGGCATTAGGAGTGCCCTGAGGTGACCTCAGCACCTCCGCGCTGGCTGACGAGGGGGGCGGGACACTTACTGTTGTCCTTGCCTTTGACGAAGCCCTCCCACTCACGAAACCAGTGCATGCTGATGCAATAGATGACGGCGGGAGATTCCTCCTCCTGGAAGGCTTTATTCAGCTGGGGACAAGGAGGGTGGAGTCTGTGCGTTACCATGGCAGCAGGACCCCACGCGGCTTGGGAAGGCCCCGCCCCCATTCCGCGTGACGGAAGGCACGATAAACACACCACCCTCTGTACAGTGACCCTTTCATCTTTTTGGATTATGCATTTTCTCCATTAATGTACTTCATCTATGGTTATACATGCCAATTACTAATACTTAATATTAATTTTCTTAAATCTTTCTTCATTCTGTTACCAGCATCTGTAACATTAATTTTAATTACCCAGTTACTATTTACATAATTTTCCCGTGTCAGTCATCACAGGGCCGCAAACTGAGCGCCTAGGGGTGGAAGTACCGGCGCATTCCTGAGCTCGTACCCGAACAAACATATCGAGCTCTGCCTTCCGTCTCTTCTCCAGCTTCTCGATCTCCATTTGGCAGGCGTGGCAGACATAGAGATGATTGACAGCTGGTCCTCCTCCGTACCTGAGGGCCGGGACTCAGACAGGTCACAAGGCGCGTCATTTGCGGCCCGTCCCCCCCAGCGGTGCTCGTCAGAGAGCCTCACCTGCTGTACAGGTGGTCCCACACGTTCTGGGGGAGCATCAGCACGAGGTCATCAATGTAGGACGCTTTGTGGGGGGGGACGCCTGGCAGACAGGAGCAACACACGTGTCAGTATGGACACCCGGGCACTGTACTCCACTGACAGCACCAGGGACGCAGAAAGTTACAGAAGGTCTAAGAAGGTCATCGAACCTGCAGCATCTTCTGCAGACATCGCTGCCTCCCATGACAGGCGTGTCAGGTAACCCCGATGACCTCCAACCCAAAAGCAAATCACGCTTCCAGCCAATAAGCACGGCCCAAGCCGAGAGCGTGCCTCACCTCCGTGGGAGCACAGGAAGTCGTTGTTGGAGATGGGCCCCGGCTCTGCGAAGGTCTTGAACTTGTTGAGCCACTGGCGTGAGATGTAGAACTGCAGCAGGCTGGGCTCCGCCATGCTGAGCAGGCCCGACACTCGCCGGCGCTCCTTCACGGCGTCCTCGTTGCTCTTCCTGCACGTGCCGGCCAGAAGACGTTCAGGCCCCCCCACTCCCCGAAACGTGCTAACGCAGGGCTTATTTCCATAACATTTATCGCTATGAGCAACAGCAAGACCCATTATGATGAAGAGCGTGAGGCTGTAGCCACGCCCATGGCCAGCCATGTGACCACATCCTACTCTGTCATTGGTCGGCTCGAGCCGCCCCCCCCCCCCCATTACTTCTTACTTGTAAAAGAGAACGTAGGCCTCCGCATTCTGCACACATGACTCTGGGACCTCGGTCACGCTCTGGTCATCGAACTCGTACCACAGGTTATTCAAGTCATTGTGGCAATAAGCGGTGTAGTGTCCGCCTGCAGGGGCAGAGAGACGTGGTCGGTGAGGGCGGGGGTCCGGGAGCAGGGCACGCCCACACAGAACCAGGGGGCGAACAGAATTTATTACAGCCTTGGTTCTATTTTTAAACACAGCACACACTGCTATAAATAGAAGCACAGGCTTCTATCTGACGGAAGGACTTAAAAAGGCACTATTACAAAAAAAATGAAGGAAGGCCAGAGTGAGACAGGATCCGGGTCCCCGACAGGATGCCTGTGGGCCCCCCCTCCCCCTCAGGCTGCACTCACTGCTTGCAGTGCCGTGGTGACAGATGACAGACAGCAGGTCGTAGCTGGTAATATGGGCGGAGCTGTCCTTGGCGAGAAAGGGCTGCATATCAAGGCCGGCCAGCGGGAAGGAGACGTGCGTGCTGATCTTGGTGGAAAACATGAGCTCGTGCCGGAAGCGCTTTAGGTGGATGCACAGGATCTGGGGGGGTGGGGTGTGGGTGGGGGAGGGGGCGAGAGGAGTGATACAGCTCAGATACACAGAGACAGAGGGCAGGAGGCTCGCTAAAGGCCAGGAACACTCACCTCCGGAAGACTCTGCACTTTGCAGAACTTAACTCCGTTCCGTAACCTGGCAACAAGCACAGAACCACCATGTTCAGTACAAAGACACCGTAAATCAGCATTAAAGCCAAAATTCGCATACAAATATACAAAGACTCACTTCTTGCACTTTTCACAACTGTACATGTTATCGCCTGGAAAAGACACAGGAGCATCAATGAGTCACAACATTCTGCAGTTCAAGCTAACCCACCAGGGGGCAGTACTGAGCAGCTAGGCCGCTCTCTTCCACGTCCAGCACCTGCAAACGTCCCCATCGCTTCTGTTCTGTAACAGATTTTACTGCTGTCGTTTATGGCCATGTTCTGACACACCTTCTGATAAAATCTGTCATCTCGTCGATGTGGGATCCTCACTTCACCCCCCCCCCACCCCCACCATGGCTGGACTTCTTCGCTGGCTGCTGGAACGTAATTATCTTAGCTCATTTTCAGACAGGGGAACGTCGGATTTACCTTTCAACTCGTCCCTGGCGAAGAAAGCAGCCAGGCAGTCCTGCAGCGTGACCACTGGACCCCAGAGCCAGCTGCCAGTGGGAGAGAAGGGGAAGGGCTGAGCCTGCGCACTGCACAACGGCACCTCCTCCAGGAAGGAGGACCACAGCAGGTAAACAAGGTGGGTGACTGTGGGGGGTTGGGGGGGGCTTGGCTGAGATCGGCATGGTGATTAATCTGCCTGTAGGGGTGGAGGGCTCACCTCTTTATGTACTCCATGACAATGGCGATCCAGCCCTGGGGGGCCTCTCCACACGAGCCGGCCTTCACCAGCGCCGTCTGGTGGCAGGAGGCAGAGTGTAGCTTGGCCAGGTCCTCCTTGCCAGGGATGGGCAGCGAGATATCCTGGAAGTTCTCCAGCGTCACGGACACCTGAAGAGCACAACCGAGCAGAAGGGAGATCTCCTCACTGTACCCAAATGCTGCCCCCACTGCCGGCGGGCTGCCAAGCGTGACATCATCAGAGCACACGCCAAACTGTAAACGCGGCTTCATTCCCCAGATTACCGGCCGCCCTCCCAAAACATGCCGTACCCGGTCACATGTTAGGCACTGCACGGAGCTGACGATAGTGCCGTCGAACACATCCGAGATCACACTGCGGTACCGCTTCTGCGTCCGGCTCTTGGGCGGAGTCAGTGAGGTCATTGCTGTGGACAGGAGAGGGCAGGTCAGGGACGAGATGCTTGGCTTTAACTCCCAGGCCGCCATCAGACGGCTAGATTAGAGCAGAGATCGGGCTGATCAGCAGACTTTCTGATGCCCCTATGCCCCCACCCAGCAGCCAGACGCTACCTTTCTTGTGGGAGGTGCTGAGACCCGGCCAGCCCCCTGGGGCAGACTTAGGAGGGCTGCTGGATATTTTGGAACCGATCCCATCATGGGTGGTGGGGCTTTGCGGCCTGGAGGTGCTGATGTGGATGTCCAGGTAGCAGTCTGTGGGAGCGAGACAGAGGGAGGAGTGATCAGGGGGCACAAGGACCTCCAGAGCACGACCTCACTGTTACTGGGGGCTATTCGCATGCCCCCAGGTCTGAACACGAGGGTGGTCCCTACCTGATAGGCGGCCCTGCGTCTGCATCTTGACCGCCCCCTGGCTGCTGATGACGGGCGTGGCCTCGGCAGCCGTGTCGATGTCCTTGTCGAGATCGTGGCTGCTGGCGCTGGCACGGTGCAGCTCGTTGATGAGGTTCTTCTCCTTCTGCCAGTCTCGGTTGTCCTGCACCTCCTCGGGAAGGAGCATCTCGGCCTCATTGGTGTCCTCCGCCACTCGGGCCACCTCACTCTCCGCCCGCTCACTGCTGCCGCAGGAATCGCACGACTGGAAGTCGTTGTCTGACTGGCTATGGTCGTCCTCGGCCGCCTCGTCCATGGGGGTGGCGTGTGGAACCTCCTCGGTTTCCACCACCGCCTCCTTCAGCTCCTCGTGTAGCTGATCCATCAGACAGCGCAGGAACTCCTGCGAATCCTTGGTACCATGGAGCATGGACAGTTATGAGTGAATGATGCAAACTGAGCTCAACTTACTTGAATCTCTGCTTAGTCTGGAGCCACATTTGGGAGGTATCTCTGCTCATGGAAAGTCTTTTCTTAAATTACATAAAATTAACATGAAACAAAACTGAACTGAACACCAACTCCTTACATGCACCACCAGGGGGCCCCTTTGCACAGTGAGACATTCTCTCTCTCTCTCATTGGAGTTTCCATGGAGAGTCACAGGCCACCACAAAGGACCTCTGTCAGGAGATCCCTGCCTGTATGTCCGCTTGCCGGGACCCTGGGATCAGTGGCGTGGGGCAGGTGGCAGCCTATGGTCTCGGCTGCTTTTGTTTTGGGGGCTGTGCCCTTACTGGGACGGACCACAATCCGCATTTAGCAAGATTCTGGACGCTCCTGCTCTTATTACAAATCATTGCGGTAATTTAGAACCACGATCAGCCAGAGAGCCCCCACAGAAAAGCGCCCCCCATGACGAAACCCAAGGGCTGGACCCTGGTGACACAAGCCCCTTTATTTCTGCTGGTGTGGTAATTACTGGGGGGGTGGGGGAGAAGTTCATTGGACAGATGGAGCACCAGGAGAGAAACGTGCGGGGTGGGGGCAGCTCGGTTTGATGCGCTTGGTTACCCTGTTTTGGCTTGGGAACAACAGGCCAGGGAGGGGGCGGGATGAGGGGAAGGCGGGGCAAGAAGTAGAGTGAGAAGATGGTGGGGCAAGAAGTGGGGCAGGGACAAGGAGGCGTAGAGACACACCTGCTGTGAGTATCCACGGAACATGGGGTTCACGGTTTTTATCCCCTGGAAAAGGTTCGTGGGCACGACATAGCTGGGCCTGCAGGGGGAGGGGGGGGGTCAGTCAGACACTGGATATGGCAGTTCTGGTGGTGGGGGGGGGGGGGGGGGGGGGGGGGGGGTACCACAGGGGCCATACCTGTTCTTATGCCACAGGTCACACACCAACTTCTGGTAGCTCTTACAGAGTGCAGGTTTCTTTTCTGTCCGGACCAGGCCTCCGCAGTCGACGAAAAACTGGGTTAGCGGGGGGCTGGGGGGGGGCAGAGGTCAATCAGAAGTCAATCAGAGGTCAAAGGGACATAGGCCGCCCTCTTCCAAAATGCCCTTTATCCAACTAAACAGTCCACTGAGGGCATAAGTGCTGGATAGATTCCTAAATTACCTAGTTTCCACCAACACGGAGTGCCAGTGCTGGACTGGTTCTGGCTTAGTGCCTTTTGAGAACCAGCCTGCGTTTCCACCGGTTTTAAAAAAAGAACGGAACAGAAATGTTACGCATGCGGAAGTGAAAGTGAGGTGAAGGTTTACCTGGATATAGCTTTTTGGATTTATTTTGCTAAACCGAAAAAAAAGTTCTCAGAGTATCACTCATTGCTCCCAGTCTCTATTGCCTGTATCCACTCTCGTCTCCTTAAACACCACAATATTTTATTTATTCAAACCTGTGACATACTTGTGCTTTATTGTTAAACATATTTAGACTTTATTAAATCTGGTCAGGAGATAATTTTTTTTATTCTGTGAAAAACAAAAAAATCAGTGTAACGTCAATGTAACGTTGCATCATTTATGTCAGGGGTGGCCAGTCTTATCCGCAAAGGGCCAGTGTGTACTGCGGCTTTGGCTGCCCACCCCTGATTTATGTGGATTATATAAGCGTCTTGCTGCAAGTCAATATTTTACATAAAATATCTTATTTTCTACAAATACAATCCATACTATTTTATGACATTTTGTCTTCGTAACGGCTCCCCTGTCTGTGTGTGTTAGTTTATTCTCATTTGTTGGCCAGGACCATTTTTTTGCCGTGGAAATGCATAGAACCAGTGCTGGACTGGGGAAAAGTCTGACACCAGCACCACACTGGGGAAACAAGGCTAATGACATGCTGCCCTTACTGGGAATCAGAAACTGGAGACAAGAGCTCAGCACAGGGACAGAGGCTCACATGCTGCACGCACCAGGACATGTACCAGTACACACACATGCTGCACGCACCAGCACACACACATGCTGCACGCACCAGCACACGCACAGCGCTCTGCCACAAGACCAAGAGGCCAAGGACTGGCACAGCCGAGCCAAACAGCACTCACACACAGGAGTCCTCCGTTCCTTGCTCAGAATTCTCTATAAAGCAGCCGTCCCTGCACACCTCTGGCCTGCTTCCGGGAAGCCGCCAGGGAACAGAGGCCTACAGTGCTAAGGGGTCCAGAGTACAGCAGCAAGCATTCCGATAGCGTGCAGTTCAGGGGCGGGCAGCCAAAGCCGCACCCCAGGACACACACTCAGTCCCACAACGATTGGCCACGATAACAGACAGGTTGATAATAAGCAGTGCAAAGGGTGCTAACGTGAGTAGAGCCATGGCACTTAAAGCGGGTGTAGGCCTTTACACTGGCATTAGCGGCTATTACAACACAAATGCAGCTAGTAGCATTAGCTACTGCGACAGCATTATCAATGCGTTAGCAGGTTCAATGACACTGATGTTTCTAGCAGCTGAAGTTCCTCAGTCATTAGCAGCGTTAGCAGCACCGTCAGACGCGGCAGCCTACCAGTTGGAGAGGGCCTGAAGGGCAGCATTCATATAGCAGGTGTTCCCGATATTCTTCAGCCCAGTCAGGCCTGGAAGGAAAGCACATTTAGGGGTCACTGGGCTGGGCTGCTACGGTGCACATTTCCACAGGTCCTGGATCAGTCTGGCTGGCCTTGTGAAGGCTGCGCTGACCGGGCTCTCCTACCGCGTGTCCGGAGCTCGTCCTCATCTTCCATCTCGGTGTCCAGGTCATCGCAGACAGCTGCTGGCGGGGCCCGCAGGGCAGGGCTCCCGAGGACCCTGGGGGCCTCCTGGCGGGAGTGAGATACCCCAGGCGCAAAGTCAGAATTCGGGGGAGTTTGAGGTTTTTTCTGGCACCTGAATAAACACCTACTTCCAGAAATCACCCTGTGAGCTTCCTACACACTGAGGAGGATGCTGCGTACCTGGGGGCTGTGCTGGGCAGGGGGGGGCGGGGGCCTGCAAGGCGACGCGGGCGAGCGGGAGCCCAGCTTGCGTTCCAGGAAGACCTCCTTCCTGCAGGCGTAGCACCAAACGCGCAGCGTGGTCAGGTTCACCGTCAGGTTGTGGTGAGTCTCCTGTGGGGACGCAATCGTATCAAACACACGCAACTATGAGGGAAAACTGGCCGATTCTGGCGGCTCCCTCCTGCACCCGCACCCCTCTGAGGCCTGTGAGGCGAAGCTGGGGGCCGTTCTGATCCGAGGGGGGGCGGGATTCCCTCAGGACTCCAGCGAAGGGCTGCCTGTCTGCTCTGGCCATGATATTTAACATGATATTTAATACCTTTAGTTTCACTGGCAATGCTACTGCTTCTGAACACAAGGCTCGGGAAAGCCTTCTGGGTAAGGGGGGGGTTTAGGGCTACAGGAGACACACAGCAGCATCCAGCCCTAGGCATCAGTAAGGCCCTCTCTGCACTTTTTGAAAGGATGACACCAAAAGATGGCGATGGAAGCTGCCTGACAGGCACGGCTGCACAGGCAGAAAGGGCCCGTACCCACAGCTGCGCAGGCAGACATGACCCCTACCCACAGCTGCACAGGCAGACAGCCCAGCAGCCCTCAGATTAAAGTCCCTGCATTATTAATGCTGTGATATCAGCTTTCAGGATTCCATTAGCAGCAGGCAGAGTTTCGGCCACCCGAAGAGCCCAAGGGGACAGCTCAGTGCTGCCCCCTTCTGGCAGGTCTGTCCTTCATCCAGTCAGACTCAGCAGCAACTCTAACAGCTCTGACAACTGTCCCCGCGCGCACCAAAGCCATCCCTGCCCTTTCCCAGTGCGTACCAAAGCCATCCCTGCCCTTTCCCAGTGCGTACCAAAGCCATCCCTGCCCTTTCCCAGTGCGTACCAAA